TTTTTTTTTTTTTTTTTTTTTTTTTTTTTTTTTTTTTTTTTTTTTTTTTTACTGATTTATGTTTCCCAATTGGTTGAAGCGCGCGCGTACTTATACTTACATACACGTGTATTTTTAAATTGTAGACAAAAGGATGGCTGTGATTTAAAAATAAGAAGCAAAGGAATTATCGAAGGAGAAGATACACACACACACTTAACAGAGAGAAATTTCGCGAGGGTCGTCCGTCATCAATGTAATATCATGAAAATGTGGCCTGACAATGCTACAAGCGAAATTGCAGTCGGGAGTGCATGGCATGCTGACACTGAGAAATGGAGTTCGTCGTGAACAGCAGAGTGAAGGATCTGCAGGCAGCTTTATTTCCGGTACAACCGATTCCTGGTAAACTTTTCACTTTTTAAGTAAATTGAACGGCACCGCAGGGCTGACAAATTGGAATGAACACAGAGAGTGAAGTGTGTGCCTCGTCGCGCGCCCTATTGCATGCCTTCGTTTGCTTATGCAAATTTAACGAAACGAGGAGACGAAACAAACAAATAATAATAGTGATGATGATGATTCAAATTTCAAGGTAACACGATAGCCAGCCAATGTCTGCCAACGCGATTCGGAGTCGAGAGGAAGGACCTAGATTCCGTGCTGCCCTTGACCTCGAGTTTTTTCAGGTGTCGCGAGATCAAGGAGGGCTTTCAGTCGTTGCTGATCGATCCGCATGTCATCGGGCTGCACGCGGTGACCCAGGAGGCACGATGGCCCACGGAATGCCAGGTTGATTGGATTGATTGAAGATTGAAAAGAAACAAAAATGTCCATCTTTCAATTGTTTGTTTGTTTGTTTTATTTTTTTCTTTTTTTTTTTTCTTTTTTTTAGGTGCTGCCCGAGAGGGTCAGGCATTTAGAGTACAGCCCAGCGGAGCCGGAGGCCTTTTATCTCCCTACGGGAAAGGAGCCAAAACCAAAACCCGTTGGCGACGAGTCGGGGACAGTCATTTTTCGCTACTGCCCCACAGGAGCCACGAACTACGTAATTTAGACCTTTTTTTTTTTTTTTTTGAACTTCGATCGTCAAATGCGTCCTTTGCAAACGCGTCTACACCATAAAACCACCAATTAGGTTGATGAATTTTTTTTTCCCCCCCAAACAACTCAAACTACGTGACGCCAACCATACCACGTGACTAGCCTCGACCGATTAAATGAAAAACGGCTCATTCACGTGCCGGGAATCAATCACTCAAAACAGCAATTAATTACACGACAATGCAGTTTACAAACATGTATATATGCCTGATACTTTTTTCACGCTATACAACGCAGTCAGTCCAAAATCGTGTTTGGAAACTGTATATATGTAGCAGAGCCAAACGAAGTATATATATATATATATACGTACAACAGCACATCAGACGTCCGTTTCTATCCAACGGAAATCAAATAACATTTGAACAAAAAGTTTTTCACACGTTGTTACCCCACGCGAACGCTCTGCCGCGCGCATCATCGCACCGACACACACGATCTCTCCGGGCTGCCGATAGACTCGAGGCCCATCAATGTTTCAGCAACTATTTGCCACACACGTTACACCTATTATATACGTATATACATGTATACGCTTTGGCTCCTCTCGCGAGGTCAATGCACCCTTTCAAAAGCATATAGTACAGGAGTACGCGTATATATATAGTATACGTGCAGCTTATCAAATCGGGCGTATCTCGAAAGAAAAAAATTTGCAGTTCAGCAGGTCATGCATAGGCGGTAGCGCGGTCGTGGGTAACAGCGGCTCAGACACCGCGATCGAAGGTGGACGAGGTGGAGGAGGTGCGACGGATTGCGTGACAGGTACTACGAGTGCAGGAGGAGGTGCTACGGACTTGTGCTTCGAGTCGAGATTCGAGTCGGGCAATCTCGGCAAAGTCATTAAAATCACCGACACCTTCTATCAGCTACACCTGCGCAAGGACCTCTACACCCAGAGGCACACCCAGTGGTACTACTTTCGCGTATCCAACACGCGAAGCGGCGTCATGTACAGGTCTGTGTGTGTGTGTTTTCTATCACTTATACCTTATTGTTTCATCATTGAAATTCAATTTAATTATTCGAAATTTATGTTTTTTATCATCATACAGGTTGTCGATCGTCAATCTGTGCAAGGACGACAGTTTGTACAACGAGGGGCTGAGACCGCTGCTTTATTCCACCAAAGACGCGACAGCCAAGTCCATCGGGTGGCGGCGATGCGGGGAGAACATAAGCTACTACAAAAACGACCCAACGTAAGTATAGAGTTGAATCATTTGCTCCTCTTATTTGTACTTAATGTATAAATGCGCCAACTAACAAGTGTATATATATATATATTATGTTTTATGTGGGTAGGGACGAGGAAAAGGAAAGGTACACCTTGACGTTCAACATTTACTTTCCGCACGACCAGGACACGGTTTACCTGGCCCACAGCTACCCGTACACCTACACAGACTTGCAGGTAAAAAAAAAGAAAAAAAAAAAAAAAAAAAAAAAAAAAAAAAGAAAAGAAAAGCCCATATGCCCCAAAATATAAACTGCCCCTTGTACGCGCTTGCAGGAGTACCTGCAGAAGATAACCAATGATACGATGAAGACGCGCTTCACAAAGTTACGCTTACTGTGCCGGAGCTTGGCGGGCAACGGGGTCTATTACCTCACGATAACTGCGCCCACGGCCAACTACGAGGCGCGTCGTAAAAAGGGAGTCGTGATAACCGCTCGCGTCCATCCGGGCGAGACGCCCTCCAGTTGGATAATGAAGGGCATCATCGACTTTTTGACCGGCGAGTCCAATCAAGCGAGGGTACGGACCACGCGCGAGCTCTCACTATCTGATTCTCTTACATTTTTTTTACTCCAGTACTTATTTGGAGACTCTTGCGCGAAATTTGTACACGGAAATCCTCTTATTTACGACTTTACATTTCGTTTCGATACGAAAGGGTATAAGGATAAAAAGTTTAAAAAAAAAAAATTGGCCAAATTACGTTCGGCTAATGGTAATACGGGACGACACGCGACATCGATTCTCCAAACTCGTTTACAACAGTCATTCGCGCAAAGATTGATATCATCGCCGTAAGAGGCACTTTGGTTAAAGAAAGGAAAAAAAAAAAAAACTGTATTCTCAACAGGAGCTCCGCGAGCGTTTCATATTCAAAGTGGTGCCGATGCTGAATCCCGACGGGGTGATAGTGGGCAACAACCGGTGCTCCCTGTCGGGCAAGGACCTGAACCGGCAGTACCGGACGGTCATGCGGGAGAGCTATCCCTCGGTGTGGCACACGAAACTCATGATCCGACGGCTGATGGACGAGTGCGGCATCGCCATGTACTGCGACATCCACGCCCACTCGCGCAAACACAACATCTTCATCTACGGCTGCGAGAGCAAGAGACCCGGTTGCCCCGGCAAACTCACCGAGCAGGTCTTTCCCCTCATGTTGCACAAAAACGCCGCGGACAAGGTAAGCACGGATACATCGGAGAATCTCTAGTTTTGTTTTTATTTTTTTTTTTTTCCCCCATGTACCATCGTATGCACTTTCAGTTTTCGTTCGAGGACTGCAAGTTTCATCTGGAAAAGGGTAAAGAGGGTACGGGGAGAATCGTCGTTTGGCTGATGGGCATACAGAATAGTTATACCCTCGAGGCCTCGTTGGGGGGCTCGAAGTTAGGCTCGAGATCGGGCACGCATTTCACGACGCTAGACTACGAACAGTTGGGCAAAGCTTTTTGCGAGACGCTCCTCGATTTTTCCGACAACGATCCCAACAAAGTAAAGCATTCAAAATTCCGTAGACGTAAGTGGTCGTCAATGCGTAATTAACGATTCGTTTTAGGAAAAATTACGTAGTAAGATTGTAGCAAGATTAACTGATAAGGGATCGAGGGCCGATGAGCCGACTAATATCGTGCTGACTGATTATTCCAGGTAAATTATTATTTTATTTTTTATTTTTCAACATTCAATCTAAAAAAATTTCATTTTTTATGTGCAGTGATGAAGGGGACACGTCCGATAGTTCGTCTCAAGACGAAACGCCGCACAGCCGATCGCGTTTGAGCGCCGACGATCGGCGCTACCTGTGCGTTCCGCCTCCTTCGCCCATGCTTTTAAAACCCGCCACGGCGGAATCCTTGGGTAACACAAAGAGGCCCAAAAACTGTCTGCCGAGACTCGTTTTGACACGCAGAAAAGCTGTAGGTATTATAAGAACTACCATCATCTTTGATCGATCGAGCGATGAAAACATGTTTGCTTTTGGTTTTTAAAGCGCAACAGAAGAGTCATGGATCTGCCCACGACAGATCCGGGGAGCGATTTTTGCGACTTTACCGATTCAGCGGACGAGGTTTGCGTTAGATCGGCCGCTGAGTCGAAGGGGAAAAGCTCGGACGAGGAGGACCGGCGGAAGAAGTCTGACCCTGACTTGCCTGTGCTTGTCCGTCCTCGAAGCCTGTCGCTGGGTGAGGATATTATTTCTACGGACCTGGGCAGAAAGAGTAAGCGGCGATATCGGCGACAACGACAGCCGAGGTATTTTTTTTTTTTTGAAAGTTTATCTGGTCATTTGAGCTTGTACATGTGATTTAACGTATCTGGTTTTGCAGGACTTTTTACAATTTGTCTCCAGTGATACAGAAGGGTCAAGATGTGCAGATGAAGCTGATGTCTTTGAGAAGGCAAATTTGGACGGGAGTTGGTACTTACGATGACAAAAATGAGGACTGCTTTGAAATGGCTTTGGTGAACAATTGTCCACTGAGCAGAGGAATTTCAAAAATGGCCATCGAGTACCAACTGGACAGCAAAGCTTTTCTCGAGTGAGTCATAAACTCTTTCAATTCGTTGTATACACTGACGCAATTTCATGATTCAAACAACCATGTCACAATTTCAGATCGTGCTCGAGAAAGTTGGAAGAAATAAGTTGGAATAGGAGTGATGTGAAAAAATCGAAGAAAAAGTCGCAGAAAAAATTAGTCAAAGGTACAGAAATTCCACCGGTGATTAATAATCTTGAGGAAGAGAATCAGCAATTGAAGAAAAAGAAAAAGCCCCGAAGTAAGAAAGCACTAAAATCGAGTTTGGAGCCACTGAACGATGATTTGATTTTGCTTCCTCCTGGCAAACTGGATCCCTTAAAGTTACTTGGAACTGCCAAGCTTCCCAAGGTTCAGACCAAACTCAAGTCTGACTCAAAAGTAAAGCAGAGCAAAGCCACAGCCAGCCCACTCACAAACAAAATAAAAGTAAAACTTCCTGTTGATTACACTGCTGACAGTTCGAGTTCTGAAAATTCGCCACCAGTCCATCGCAAGACTGTCAAAAAGAAGACGAAAACAAGTGAAAGAAAGCGTGCACAGAGTGCAGTAGCCAGTAAAAAGGGACTGAAATGATTATCATCATTCCCTTTCATTTGTATCCTGCAACTGCCAAGATTATATCATCATTTAAGCACTGCCAGTAAAAAAAAAAAAAAAGAGTCACATAGACAATTTATTAGCGTGACGCTTGTATCTTGAATAACCACGATGACGTACCACTGATGATTGCTAATAAAATTATAAATAAACATAACTGTTGGAGTAATCGACGTGCTGCGTATACAATAAGCACATCGTCATCATTACTCATATATATTTTAAGCGCCCGGGTAACCTAAAAGTTGCAACAAATGTTACGAAATACGTTTTCAAGCCGTGGATGGCAAAAATTTTTTACTTTGTAAGACAAATATGTAGTTGACTAACGAATTAATTTTTTATAGCGGATGATTAAAAAACTCGTTCTTTATATCTCTGTAGAATTTTATATAAAACGCAGTGAAAAAACAAATGCGAAGGTTAGAACGATGATAAATAAGAAGGAAAAAAAATTAGTTAAAACATGCGGCATGCCGTGTTATTTACTTGTTGAACATGAAAATAAATACCAGAGTAAGTATAATCGGCTTGACTTTGGTTACACAGGCTCTCGCAACGACGGTAGTTTTGCCGGCCAACGTAGAGGAAAAAATCAATAAACAATCACCGCAGGTCTATACTGCATTTGAACATTTCATTGTGACATTGTAAGCACAATTGATTGCGTTAAAATAAAAGAAGAAAAAACTACCCGGAATGAAAAAAAAAAGAAGAAAATAAACTTATTCAAGTGACAAATCGACCTTGTCGATCGGCCATATATATATATTTACACTAATTTCGGCGACATCTGCGGTCCTCCGCAAGAATTAAAACTCATCATGGCGCTGCGAGAGGCGCACAAGTTCAAAGTTCACAAGCTCGTGTTATATACTTAATATTTATTAAATATACCGACATCTAATACTATAGTCTTATACCAGTCGAGTGATGTTTGAATTTCTTCGAGACTGGAACATACCTATGCTTACGAGTTTGTTTTGTAATCTTTGTTGTTTCTTTCCTTTCTTTTTTAATGAAATGTAACGAAAATTGATTAAAAAGTTTACCAAACATTACCGGCAGTCGCGAGCAATTTATTTCCCCCAGCCCAAATCACTTTATTTTCATCGATGATGAGGGAGTTTGTGGAAAGAAAAAGAAAATGAAAAATATACACGACAGTTACAACTCAAGTCGCACACGTGCAGGAACAGCGCGGCAGAGGTGTATATATACGTATATATCACGAGCGAGGGGTCGACTGCGCGCTGACCTGGACATCCGGCCATTGTAAGCGTAATTCGTCGCGTTTCCCACGAGACTTTGGAAACCAACGCAACTCTCTATACTTAATTTACTTGCAATGCCGATCGAGCGTTTTTGCCTTCGCTCAAGTGGAAATTCATGCTCGGTTGTTGTTGTGGTTGTTGTTTTTTGTTCCGCAAAACGAAATTTTCCTTTTGCCAGCAAATCACACCAAACGACTTGTGATTGCTCGTTGGAATTAAGGAAGGACACATTTTTTGAAACCTATACTCTAGCAATTTATACCGTTTCCATTGGCACGTGGAAACGTCCGTGCAATTATTTCCATTATATCTCCATGAGCAAACAAGGTATCTTTGAAACGACGGCCGCCAATAAATTATCAGAAAAAAAAAAAAATTACTTTAGATGATCGATATCGATTTAATTTAATTGGCACCATAAGCATAAAATACGCTATAGGAGTACCATCATGAGGGGTGTCGGAAACGTTTAGCCTCGGCGCTCACATGGAGTATACGTAAAGTACACACGTAACGACGACGAGGGCGACGAGGGAAAGGGAGGAGGAGAGGAAGGGTGTGTAAGAGAACGAGAGAGGAGGAGGAGGAGGAACAACTCCCGGTAGCTCCTGTGCGCCTGATACCCGCGCAGTCGCATATGCAGAGGGAGTCGCGATGGAGATTAGAATTAGATGTCGTCGCTCGCTCGCGCTAGTGCGCGTTGCACGGCTCGTATATACGTATATTATGATGTTGTAGCGATGTACAGACTGTGACGAGCTTGTGAATTGTATACCTATATGTAGAGCCGCCGAGGTGAAAGTGAAAACTTGCGTTGCGTGCGTGTATACGCAGAGCGAAGGGCATACATATATGTATAGCCGTTACGGGGGAGGAGCTTTTTCTCTGCTTGCGAGCTTGCGAGAGGACTGACGCTCTCTGGATCATCGGGACCATCGTATCGATTAATTTTTTTTTTTTTTTTTTTCCCCTCGCTCTCATTAGACGCGTGCACTGCACGATATACACGATTACAAAGTCAATTATCGCGATGACGCCCATCTGCAAATCTTCGGGAAGAATCGTAACTAGCATCATTATAAGCTAACTCATGTGCATGCGAGTCGCTTTATCGTAATGTATAGGAAACATGTTAAGCCAGTACCATCCAATATACCTATACAGATGTAAGAATACGGGAAATGGAGTACATGGGGGCCCTCGTTGGGTGAAAAGCTCGGGTCTCCGGCGCCCATCATCCGGCGTCGGTGACCGCGCGCGCATCACATATACGTATACACCCCGTGTTAACCCATATGTATACACCATATCAGCAGCATTTTCCAATAATAGCCCGCGCGTAGGTACACACACATGCGCGCTCGCGTTCGCTGGATATAGGGTTCGCCGTTACGAAACGGTCGTGTATATACTTGTACACCACCCACTCCGTCGTACGCACACGTGTTGTGTACATAGAGGTCTTACATATATTAATAGTGGTAGGTTGGGCACATACGCGGCAAATAGACACATGTGCGTGAGCGCGGCTTGGCCTATGTTTTCCTAGTACGTAAAGTTGCCCAACGGCGAGCTTCGTCGCCAAGGTGACGGGAGGGCGAGAGCTTGCAAGCTAACCACCCCCGGGGCGCGTTGTGTACACGTACGTACGAGGGAGAGTCGCCCGCGCGGGTTCTTTCGCCCCTGGTAGGAGCGAATACGCGCCGCGGGACGTGCACCACCGGGGCAACTTTCACTTTTCTACTCGGGAGCTTTCCCCGCCACCCCGTACGCGGCAAAGCTCCAAAGGTGGAGTGATTTTTTTTTTTTCCTACAGTTGCAAGCTCCGGTGGCTGACGGGGGCTCATACGTGACAAAGATTTCATCGGGTTGCCGGTAAATTTGGCACATTTCTCGCACCCACTTTTTTCATGGCAATTGTAAAAGATCCACGGGGAATCGAAAAAGAAAAGGATGCGCGAAGAATGCAAGGTGCAAGCTTAATTTTCTTTCTATGCCACGGGCGTCGCGTAATAGTTGAGGAGCCGAGAAAAACGAGTCGTGGGGGAGAGAAGCCGCGAAAGAGTCGCGACGACGATTGTTTGTTAATCGAATCTCGGGTCATAGATTACGTTCAAGTGTCGATGACTAACCGTAACCCTATATATATACAGCTTACCTTTTTTTTTGGATACGTCATTTTTCTCTCGAACCTCCCTAGTATACATAGCATTATTATTATTATTATTCGTTATATTAGATGTAATCGCCTATTGGTAATCCTTTGATCTTTTAACGAACCAACGAATGCTCTCGTTCTCATATGCAATGCGCATACGTGTGTTTTGAGGAAAAAGTTGCGCGATTATGAAAAAAAAAAAAACGCAAGCTCTGGAATATTCATTGGCTGAACGCGCGATCGAAAGCATTCGCTTAAGCATTCACTTTTGGAAATTATATTAAACGAATACGTTGGACTCGATGAACATTGGCATTTGCATGGAACACTAAAAAAAAAAAAATAATAATCCACCGAATGGTTCGCTGATGCTAAGAGAAAACAAAAACTACTGTTTTTTTTTGGCCAAAAGTGTTTAGGCGACAGGGTAGTTTTCGGATAACATACTTTGGTCACAGCATTTGCGTACGAAATCGCGAGTATACCGACAACACCTGTATATTTACCGTGTACTTGATTAGCGATTCTAATGGCTTTGTTTGCCATACATACGTGTATCGGCCACACGTTGTGCGTACAGCCGGAATCGCATACATATATATACGTTATGCTGAACCGGTGGTGGGAGTCTCAAAGTGCATCCACTGCGGTTATAAAAGACCCAACGGAGCTGCGGCCCAGACAGTTCGGTGGTTGTACATCGGCTGCAAGACTCGACCCTTAGATCTTGTGTTCTCAACGTAAGTGGAAAAAAAAAAAAAAAAAAAACCATTCCACGGGGAACAAGTGACAACGCGGACAGTGATTGCGCGCTTTTCGCCACTCGATTCGCGTCGATTTATACTCGCGGGCGTGTGCCTTATTTTACTCGTCGTACGGACTTTTGTGCTTGAATTTTTTATTTTTTACTGTTTCCCTTTCGCTCGACGCGAGTTTGATTTTTCGAGTGCAGGTAATCGTGGCTGCGATGATGCGGCGAAAAAAATTTACTTTCCGGAGCTTATTGAAAGGATCGTCGAATCTATATACAATTTTATACAAATATTTTTAGTTCAATAGTCAAGTAAATCGCATCCAGAACGAGGTTTAGCGCGCATTTTCTCGTGTTTTTTTTTTTTTTTACCGCACATCGAAATGAAAAAAAAAAAAATTAGCACCCAAGTATTGAAGTTGTTGTTGTTGCAGGGAGTCGAAAAAGCGCCAACCACCAGAGTAAGCCCGATAATGTCGGTAGCCGGACCGGAAGTGGTCGCCGGCTCGGTGGCCGCGGCCTCAGCCGGCGGATTCTCCGCCACCAGCGTCTTCTTCACCCTCCTCGTGCCAGCCGTCGTGCTATTCTACATCTACTTCAGGATCTCGAGGCGCCACCTGCTCGAGCTCGCCGAGAAAATCCCCGGACCCAAGGGCCTGCCCGTGATCGGCAACGCCCTCGATCTCATCGGCTCGTCCGACAGTACGTACAACCACCATCGTAAACTGTCATTAACAGCGGGACTCGGATAAATCAGGTTTTTATTTTGTTTTTTCCATTTCCAGCAATATTCCGCAACATCTACAAGAGATCCTTCGAGTTTGACACTGTGGTCAAACTATGGATCGGGCCCAAGCTCGTTGTCTTCCTGATTGACCCGCGCGACGTCGAGGTCATCCTCTCGAGCCACGTCTACATCGACAAGTCCACCGAGTACAGGTTCTTCCAGCCTTGGCTCGGCGAGGGTCTCCTCATCTCCACTGGTGACGTATACTTGTCTTATACCATTACTCTCTCCTCCGTTATTTTATCATACGTCGCATTCCATTGAATCCAAAATTACAGTGAAACTCCAGTATTTATACATTTATAGATACGTATACACATTACACGTTGTAACTTCGTCTTCCCTTGCACATAAACATGTGTCACGCGATGTAACGTAAAGTACGTAACGACGTAATAATCGGAGCAGTAGGAGATCGCCGAGGCCTTTATGCTAATACCGCGTGTGATTAACGTACACATTTCTCGGTACGGTATTTTCTTCCCTACTTGAAAGTCGGTGGAAATGTAAGGGGGGAGGGGGGTATACGAAGTAAAGACAGAGGAATCTTAATTAAACAGCCATTGTCTCGATTCGTGAAACTCGGCAAACTTATACAACCGAAGCACAGCCAAACACTTTTTTTTTTCATTTCCTGCCAGACATCATTAGCATAGGCAAGCATAAACCGATTAAAAAGCCAAATTTGACCGATCTGACCGATCCCGTTGTACGCACTCGCAGGCCAGAAATGGCGCGCCCACCGCAAGCTGATCGCCCCGACCTTCCACCTGAACGTGCTCAAGAGCTTCATCGACCTCTTCAACGCCAACTCGAACGCCGTCGTCGAGAAGATGCGCAAGGAGGACGGCAAGGAGTTCGACTGCCACGAGTACATGTCTGAGACGACCGTTGAGATCCTCCTCGAGACCGCCATGGGAGTGTCCAAGACCACCCAGGACAAGAGCGGCTTCGAGTACGCCATGGCCGTCATGAAGTGAGGATCATCCACTTTCATTCGCCAAACTTTTTTTTTTTTTTGCCTCTGATTCACGGTAAAATGATTTTTTTTTTTTTTTTTTTTTTTTTTAAGGATGTGCGACATCCTTCACCTGCGTCACACCCGCGTTTGGTTGCGGCCCGACTGGCTGTTCAACCTCACCAAGTACGGCAAGGAACAGGTCGCCCTGCTCGACATCATCCACGGCCTGACCAAGAAGGTCATCGCTCGCAAGAAGGACGACTACAAGAGCGGCAAGCGCAACTTTGTCGACACGAGCGCCACCGCCAAGGACAGCGCCAAGAGCACCACCGTCGTCGAGGGCCTGTCCTTTGGCCAATCGGCTGGCCTCAAGGACGACTTGGACGTCGACGACAACGACGTCGGCGAGAAGAAGAGACAGGCCTTCTTGGACCTTTTGGTCGAAGCCAGCCAGAACGGCGTCGTTCTCACGGACGAGGAGGTCAAGGAACAGGTCGACACCATCATGTTCGAGGTGAGTTGCTTCTCTCTCTTTCTACCTCTTGTTTCTTTGTGACAATGTGGAGTCTTTTTTTCATTATTTTTTTTTTTTTTTTTCCTCAAGGGACACGACACCACGGCTGCCGGATCCAGTTTCTTCCTGTCGATGATGGGCTGCCACCCAGAGATCCAGGAGAAGGTGATCCAAGAGCTGGACGAGATCTTTGGCGACAGCGACAGACCCGCGACCTTCCAGGACACGCTCGAGATGAAGTACCTCGAGAGGTGTCTCATGGAGACGCTCCGCATGTACCCACCGGTGCCCATCATTGCCCGCGACATCAAGACCGATCTGAAGCTCGGTAAGCAAAAGTGATTCTTACAACTTGACCGGTATAGTTGAGTATACGTGTGTTGATCGCGTTTGTATTTATCGCAGCATCCGGCGACTACACGATCCCATCGGGAGCTACGGTAGTCGTGGCGACGTTCAAGCTGCACCGACAGCCGCACATCTACCCGAACCCGGACGTCTTCAACCCGGACAACTTCCTGCCCGAGAAGACGGCCAACCGGCACTACTACGCCTTCGTGCCGTTCAGCGCGGGTCCGCGTTCCTGCGTCGGCCGCAAGTACGCCATGCTCAAGCTCAAGATCCTCCTGTCGACCATACTGAGGAACTTCCGCATCAAATCTACCGTCAAGGAGGAAGACTTCAGGCTCCAGGCCGATATCATCCTCAAGCGCGCCGAGGGCTTCAAGGTCAAGCTCGAGCCCAGAAAGTCCGGGGACGCACGCGTCAAGGTCGCCGCTTAGGCTATTCTCCCCCCACTCGATTCGCGTCGATTTATACTCGCGGGCGTGTGCCTTATTTTACTCGTCGTACGGACTTTTGTGCTTGAATTTTTTATTTTTTACTGTTTCCCTNTTTTTTTTTTTTTTTTTTTCATTAGTCGCTGTGTGTTTTAATTATTATTTATTTGCGTAACAAAAGTAGCAAAATCACGAGACGCCTGTTTATCGATTGTTACGCGTAAGAAAAATGTTATTGTAACAACATGAGTACATAATATACATAATACATTGTGCACGATGCTCGAGAGTCGCGCGAAATCACGCACGCTTGTTTACTGTTTTTTTTTTTTTTTTTTTCTTTTTTCTCAATTTCTGTTACCATTTAATTTCGTTCTTGTTGTTAATGTTGTGTAGGGGAGAGTATTCAGGTGCGTGACTTTGTATTGTTTATTATTATTATTATTATTATTGTTTTTTTATTAAATCTTTGGCTATTTGGTGTCAAATTGTACACCGTACTTGTCCCGTTTGTGTTTTTGTTATGTTATCAGTTTATTTATTATTTTTTTTTTTTAACCTTCAACAATACGTATACGATCGTTCGTTAGGTGTTTTTAGTACGAGAATCCTTGTGCGAGCAACCGGGGCCAGAGAGTATTTGGTCGTAGGAGAAATTTCTTGGTAAATTTTCACTCCTCCAACTTGCGCCCTGTTGCTTTTATACGCGGCTTTTTCGAAGGCCCCGATACATAGGTACGAGAGTATATATTTTGTTTACCGGTTTTTATTCCGTGCAATAAATAATGCAGTGGCTTTACTGCGAAACCGCCAAACGCCGATGTGTTTTATTTTTTCGAAACCTCTTGTGTGAACGGAAGGACAGGGAAAAAATGGCAAATACGGTAAGGTCAGCGCGAACGATGATGAAGCCTCTGACGGCAGCGGCTCTGCACGAAATGCCAAAATTCAAACAGCGAGTCAAAGCCCAGCTGCCATCTCTACGGGCAAAGGACATACGGAGGTTATCCCAAATATTAGCTGTTGATTAAAAAAAAAAAAAAAAATTTATATATCGTCCACAACATAACGATGGCTCTTTTCGACAAAGATACAAACTCCCGCACAGCCAAATCGTGGTTTTGGAATTGAGAGAAGATGGCCACGTCGAGGCTGCCGAGTATTTCGAGTTTCTATTTCGACTCGACGAGAACATCAAAACAGCAGCTGGGCCCGACACCGTCATTTGGAACAACCCACGGTTGAAAGATAACGAGGAACTGGTCGACCAGCTCCGCCAAGTTCTCGTCTCTGTCTTTGACGAAAAGTGTAATCGTGTTTTTGCACCCAACGACAATGACGAGTTGAAAAAAAAAAAAAAAAAAAAAACCAAGAAATTGTTCAGTACCCGCAGAGACGAGAACCACATTGACGATCAAAATGTCCCTGCGCGTGGAGAACTCAAAGTGGGAGTGGTGGTGGATCGCCGATACCCTCTACCGCACTGCGCTTCAAATAGCGAAGGAGATCGACAGCAACGACAGAGAGATCGTCAACAGCCTACGTTTTCTTTACGCGAGATTTTTATTTTCCAAACGTTTGTACAATTAAACGCACCCACGTACACGTACCAACTCCCAATAAATGGCCCCCCCAAATTCAGTGAAAAAGCCAGACCTTGCCCTGGAGCACGTAAAAATGGCACAGAAAGAGTCGCGCGGTCAGCCGTGGAACGCCTCGAAATTATTGGACTGCAGGCAGGAGAGCTTGTTCACGGAGTCCTGCGTTCTCATGCACAAAGTCCTCGTGAGCATAGCCCGCGAGGAGCGCGAAAACGACGCCGAGGTAGCCGTGAATTCTTGCAAGGTGGCCCTCGACTGTGCCTGCGAATGTAGGTGATGTACATTATTATCCATCACGTGAGATTGGAAAGGTATCGACTGGTGTTATTTTGTCCACAACATTATGTATGCCAAGCTTGGCGCAAAGAACTCGTGGCCGAAGCGCACTACGAGCTTGCCGAGAGCGAAAGGGCGGCTGGAAACTTGAGCGGGGCTGTCGAGCACTTTTTCGCGAGTCTCGGTATTTTGGAGGAAGTCGACGATCCCGTGGGTATTTGTCGAGTTCACTCGAAACTGGCATCCACCTATGAAGTAATTCAAGGGAAAATTATTTTATTTGCCACGGTATTGTTGGAAATTGGTATTTTTGTACTTATGTTGTGCAGCGTATTGGCGATGGAGAAAAAGTTTTGGAGCATTTTCGTAAACTCAAGGATGTCGCGTCGGAGTGTGGTTTGCCGTACAAGTACGCGGAGGCTCATTACTTCACGGGGGAGTATCATTTGCGTAGAGTGAGTATTATCATTTTTTCCATTTTCAAGTTATATCTTATTTAGTGGAAAATTCAATGAAGAACGATCCGGAGAAAGCAACGGCGAATTTTCAAGTTGCGTTTGCGGTGTACAATCGGCTTGGTGCGAAAAACGATGCCAATCGCGCTAGATGCTTTTTGGGAATATCGAAAGGTGAGCATTAAAAATATCCGAAATTTTTACCTATTTTTATTTATTTATTTTTTTAATATGTATAGATGTTTTTTTTTTTTTTTTTTTATTACTGATTACATCAATTTACATAAAAACTAAATTTTTATTTAGTTATTTTTTTTTGTTACAATATTTTTAAAAGTTATTTTACATCTTAATACCAATTTCATATAAAATAATCAATACCTCTTAATTCTCAAGAATGTGCACGATTTCTAAAAAGTAAAAATTGTGTAAATATGGGGTTTTTATTAAGTGACTAAAAGTGTATTGTTCTTAAGCAATCGTCAAGTATCGGCAAACTTAATGTAATCTAATAATTACAATATTAGCTTTAAAGTATATGTACTTGCATGGGTACACTTGGTACTTGCAAATATCCTTAAACTTAACACTTATTTTGCGATACATAAAAAATCTTTTTTTTTTTTTTTTCATGATTTTTTATTTTTTTTTAAATTTTATTTAACTCTCAACATGTATATCTAAGAGAAATGTAACGTAATCAATAGTAAGGATTAAGTTTTCGATTTAATCTCAAAGCTCAACAAGTTGAAATTTACTACATAATTATAAGAGAAATGAACAGTGTTCTTTTGTATTAATGATCTCAAACTTGAACCATCTTAATTGATAGATACCACTCATAGATCTTTACACAATTTTTAGACCCATTCGCTTTAAGATTTTAGACATAATAAACCCCAATGCCGCAAGTTTCTGTATTATTACAGACAATTGAAATGATATATAAAGCAAAAAAAATTATAATTTAAGTTTAAGAACAATAAATAATTTAGTATCTTAGGCGCCCGAATTCATCATCTTTGTCTCCCGCCTACAAAATCTATTTACATTTTCAACTTGCACTCTAAGAAATATTTTCGTATTGCGATTATGTTTCTTCCATTATTAGGAAAGTCGTTGGCGCTTTCGCGCTACTTGTTTGATTTTTTTTTTCTAACTTGAGGTCAGCAGATAATGGACAAATATAAGGCCTTGATCGAGCAAAGCGTTGAGGGTGTCTCGGACGCTTTGTTGAAAATTATTCTCTGGAAGGATCGTGGTGAACCCTTCGATTAGATCATGTGGGTAAGGTAAATTATCTCACTAGATCTAACCAACGCAATTTTTTATTCCATTTTATTTATTATATATTTTTCTCGCTTTACCATTGTTTTTACGTGTATTTTCATGGTTTTGCTTTAGTTCAGATCACTAACAATATTATTTTCAATATAAAAAAAAATTTTTCAGTAAAAGTTTGAATCTTCATTACGTAATAATTTTATAATCTGGCCGTTGTCATAATATATTTCATCGTTTGTACTAGATTTCAATTGATCAATGTTATATATATNATGCTTATAATTTTATTTTTAATCCATTAATATAATAGTAACAACGTGCATTAAAAAAAAAACACCAAGTCAATTTTGAAGACGTCGAATAAATAATTAAGAGTAAAACGTTGAGCAATCTTAACTAAAGAAACTCCCTGAAAATATACAATATACTCAAGTTATTATTGTAAGCTACTCTTTACAATCTCACATTACGCAGAACTCACATCACTTATTCATTGTTGTTACACGTTAATTGGATTCTAAATCAAACGTTACCAAAGAAGCCGAACTCTTATCATTAGACTTTACGCATCGTGGAATTGACGACGCAGTGAATCTTCTCGGTGATATTCCTGGTTGATTGGGAGAAGATTTCAACTGAGGGAACAATAAACAAGAAGTTCGTTTTCACTCTCTCAGTTTCTTTTTCATTATCATCTAAATTGTCTCTTTGCACTTTCACTCGGCAGCCCGTGTGATTGAATGTCGAAGTCTGCTACAAGATTAATACAGCGCAATATTCAAAGAAACTGGAAAACAAAGTACAATTGTAAATGTATTGATTATATGACACAATGAAGTGGGATGATTAACACATGTTGCTGATTAATAAAAATGAACGAAACAAAGAGTCTTTGGAGTTTATGCCTTGGGTACTTGTGTAAATGTTAAATTTTAAAATAAGACTAAAATAAAATGTTTGTGAAATTTTTAAATAATTTTATAATGTCTGAATAAAACTTTCAAAATTAAGAAGTAACGGACATAAGATATTTCTAAAAAATATTATTTTGGACCATTGGACATATCTACATTGAAATTCTCACAACTAATTTAAATTCAATTTTTACAATTTATTTAAATTTAAAGATATACATGTTTACGGGTATGTACAAAAAATATGTGCTTTTCAAACAATTTCAAGACTAAGAATAAAACAATATTATTCGGTAATTTTTAATCTCAGACTGTAAATTTTTTTTATTGTGAGTTATTTTAAGCAATTATGAATGAAAATTAATATATAAACTAATAAATTATACAGATTTAAAGAGTATCAAAAAACAAATTTGTAACTGAGATTCGGACAAGTTAGTAAAAGAATTTTATGGATAGCAAAAAACTGAATGAAAATATAATAAAAAAAAAAAATTACAATTTATTCGTTATGGTTAAGCTTTGAAAATGGGATACAAATATTATTCGTCAATAGGATTAAAGGAAAGCAGTCTGGACGTGTACTTTTACAAACTTTTAAAGAATTTAGGATGCAAAGTCCGTTTCATCATCAGAAATGGGTTCAGCCTGCAAGTCTAAACGCTTTGAAACGTCACAGTATTTTTGTGTAGAAAAACTTGACTCCGTCGATATTTTGCAAGCATTATTAGGTACTTCTAAGCAATTACCATTGTTTTCAACCTCGTCTTCCTGGACCTCTTCGGTCTGTTGTTGCTCATTGGTGTTCACCACTTCCTCTACGACATCGACGTCTTGAATTATTTGACACTCATCCAAGGTTCCGTCACCATTGTCTTTTTGCTTGCTGCTAGATTTATTGTTTCTAATTTCCGAAACATCCGTGCACTCAGATTCAGATATTTTGATCTCATGTTGGCCATCCTTACCAGAACAATTTTCCTTCTCCATGCTTGTATTGGTTTCTTTTTCACTTTCCTCATCGCCATCCGTGACTGATCCTAACTCATCAACTACCTGAAGCCCTTTGCGTTGCAGCAATTCTTCCAAGGTGTGTTCTTCGAGTGCCTCTTCATCTTCGGTCATATTTTCTTCATCCTCGTTGTTATCTGTACCTGATTTCTTCGTATTTCCATCATTGTTTTCTCTATCCGGTTCTTCTGATGCATTAACGTTTATTTCAGTGATAGAGTCAACTGTGTTCTCGTCATCTTGAGTAATTTTGCTCGAATCTACGACTTCCTCAATTTCATCGTCATCTCCATGATCATCTTTGAGCTCTTCGCATCCGTCATTTTCTGTCAAATCAATATTTTCGCACTGCATGGTTTCTATGGGCTCATCTTCGTCTTGATCACCGTCATCGATTTCGGTTATTTCAATTTCATTGTCCACTTGACGTTTTTCAGCTTCTTTTTCGGCGTCTACCACATCTTTCGACGATTCGTCGATGTCTTTTGACGATTCATCCACATCTACAACAGGAGTTGCTTCAATGCATTCGACATCTTCGTCCTTGTCCTCATCTATCGTGTCACATTCGATGATTTCATCAGACTCGTTAGGGACTTCTCTTCTAACATTTTCAGTTTCTACAACCTCATCCTCTTCTTCGTCATTGTTTTCATTATCCATTTCTACAGGACTCTCAGCGACAGTTTCTTGGTTTTGTTCGTTTTCATCTCTTTCTTCATCATTATTTAGAGTTTTTTCATTACGAATCTCCGTTTTTTCTTCTTCTGTCTCGCTTTCATTCTCTCGTTCTTCGTTTGCTAACTCTCCTTGAGCTTTGTCACTTTCTGCTGGTTCCTCTTCTTCAGTTTCTTTGGATTTGTCCTGGGGTTTTTCGTGCAATTCAGCAATGTCGTTAAGAGTCTCTTGAACGGCCTCTGCAATTTTATCCGAATGAGATTCAGCTTCCTTTTCAGACTCGCTATCATCTTCGACAGCTTTACTTCTTCTACCTTTTGGCTTTTCGTCATCTTTTCCTACCATTTGCTTAGACTGCCTCGTTGAACGTTGAGACTTTGTTTCTCTTTCACTTTCATCATCTGAACTTACATCATTCGTCATTTTGGATTTTTTCGAAACATCATTTTCGATTACCTCTTCATCTTCTTTCCCTGTAATCTTTTCAGTATCGTTTTCGATGACGTCATCTTTTTCAACCATTTCAACATCTTCATCGATCAGCTCTTTTTCTTCCTCGCCCACCAACATTTTCTCACCTTTGTCTTGATTACCCTCATTTTTCTCTTCTAGCTCTTCATCCACTTCCATTTCACCGTTCTCTTTTCCATTTTCTTCAGGAATTTCTCTTTCCGAACTTATTCGTAGTTCTTCATCAACCTTTTTGGGTACTACAACTCTTTCTAATTTAAGTTGCAATACTTTCATGTGCGTAAGTTCGTGTTCAATGCCAGTTAATCTACTTTCATATACCATACTACACACTGTGCAGGTGTATGATTTGTCAACTGGCTGAATGTCTTGATTTGCTTTTGGCGTAGATACCGTGGATTCATTATCTGAACCATCAATGATTATATTATTCTTAGACTTTGCAGATTTTGGAGACTTTTTCTTCCCTCCAGATTTTTTGTTTTGTTTCGATTGCCGAGTCAAATTCAAAGAAGAGCGTCTACTTGACGAGGCTCTACTACTCTTTTTTGAAGTATCAGACTCATTTCCTTCGTTCTCATCTTCTTTAGTTTCATTTCTGGAAAAATCTGTTTCTTTTTCTTCATCTTCTTCTCTATCGGATAAAGCTGAATCTTTTTTGTCAGACTTATCACCAATGGAAACGTTTTCATCCATTGTTTTTGGAACATCATTTTCTGCCGACTTGATGATTTCCCCTTCGTTCAACTTTTCAACTATGGATTCTGAATCAATTTTCTGCCCAACAAGGGCTTGTATATCTTCATCGGATGCAGCATCACCTTCCAAGTCGTTATCAATATCAACAGTTTTTTTCTCAAAACTTGCACGCTTGATTTTTCTGTCATTTTCGTCATCTTTAGTTTCCTCGTCAGTCGACTTGAGGACATCAATTTCTTCTGATTCTGAATTATCCGATGGCTTCTCAGATACAGTTAGAATTTCTGTAACTCTAGTCTTGGTAAGTAGCTCCTTTCTATTTCTTTTTTGCTTAGGCGACGATTTAGATGTTGGTGTCGACTCCTTACTTGAACTTGGTGTTGATTTCTTAAACTGATCTTCAATTTCGCTGTGATCGCCATCTGAGTGCATTTCTTGTACTCTTTGTTTCTTAGTTTTGGAGAAATCTTCACTTTCCGACAGATCTTCTTTTTCCGTTCGAGGGGGCAGAACATCATCATCATCGACTTCAATTATTTCATCTAAATCGTTAACGATATTCTTCCGTGCGTTTCTCGCGGATTTTCTTATACTACCGGTCGACTCTACAGAGCTACTTCTCCCGCGTTTACGACTATTCTGGTTGTTTTTTGACTTTAAAACTGTTTTTTTTACTGACTTTGAGCCAGACTGTTTGGCTTTCTTTAAAACTGGCCCACTGTCACTATCGTTATCCACCTCTATCTCAGACTCTTCGTGTACGCTCAGTTCCGAATCTATTCTCCTTCTAGTTCTTGTACTTTTAGATTCCGCAGTGCTTATATCACTTAGTTCGGAATTTTTTCTACTCCTAGAACTTTTCACGAGTTTGATCTCTTCCTCTTGAACGCTTTGTTCCGACTCTTTTCTTTTTCTAGTTGCTCTGATTGATCTACCTTCTAAACTTTTTTTGTTTTTAATGGACCGACTTGGTTGGGTATCCTCTGATTCCATACTTAGTTCCGAATCTTTCCGTCTCCTACTCTTTTTTGTACTCCTACTTTCCATAACTTCTTGAATATTTTGGTCAATGTTTTTCTTCATTCTTGTGTTTCTAGCAGGTTTAGGCGATTCTTCTTCTTCTTCTTCTCCACCTTGTTCTTCTACATGCTCACTGTCAGATTCTCCCTTTTGCCGACTTTTGGCTTTAGAATTGGATTTATTAGATGACCCTTTCTTCTTGGGTTTCCCTTTAGTTACTTTGCTTCTAGATCGCGATTTTTTCACTTCAAATATTTCTTCATCGCTCTCTTCAAATGTGGTATTTTTTTTTTCTTCATCGATTTTTTTACTTGCCGGGGATCGAAATGTTTTTTTGTCTACACTGGAACTAATAACAATGAATTTTGCTTCATTTTCTTCATCTTTAATTATAAATTCTTTCTCCTGCAATAGATACAAATCTTTCAGGAGCACAGAACACTGTGTTGTCGACGGATAATTGACTTGTTTGCGGTTCTTGGTCTGAGTTTTGATAGGATCTGTGGTGAGCCAACATTCCTTACAAACAATAATTTCAGTACGATGAAATCGGTACGAGCTTTTATCTTTGAGCGATATCTTGCACTGTTTGCAATTCTGTTGTGATTTTGACACTGTAGATTTGTTGGATTTATTCTTTTTCTTGCTGCCCATTGTATCGCTGATTTCACTGTCTGTATCTGAGGGAGTATTTAAATCAAAGTTTGCAGTTTGCACAAGAGTAGTATTTCTGTTCACAATAAACGTCTTTGTCTGAAAAAAAAATTTGGTCAATACATTAATTTGGCATTGCATCAGTACTACTACCAAAAGGTATGACCAGTCATAGAACTTTTCGCTCAACTTTGGATTTAAATAATGTAGGTAAAATTGATTTGATAATTTGGGATGAGGCTTCTATGATTCTAAAAAAAGCTTTAGAGATAGTTGACAGAACTTTGCGTGATATATGCAGCACACATATACATTTTGGAAATAAATTAATAATTTTAGGAAGAGATTTCCGTCAAAAACATCCTGTTATAAGAGTAGTAATAGAAGTAAGGTTATATTAAAAACTATTAAGTCACCATTTCTTTGAAGTTCTTTTTATTTTTTAAAATTAAACACAAAAATTCGTTCGGTTAATAAAAATATTTCTTAATTACTTCTAGAAATTGGAGAGGAAAAATTAAAATCATTGATCATTCCTAAAAAATGGGACGTCANTTCTTATTTTCTAATGTTCATCTGCAAGACATCTTTACGGAATTTTACTTCCAAAACTCCCTAAAGATATCTTTCAGATGGACATTAGAAGTCTACAAGACATCTACAAGAAATCTCGAGAAAATGTGTTTACTAAGGGTAGATTAATTGTTTTACCTTTGGAAGATCAGCTGGGTGAATGCCATTTTGAATAATACTCTTGAGTTTACCAGTTATTTCGTTGGATAAATTTCTCAAATCCTGTAATAAGTCCACGCAGTATCTACACGATAGGCAAATGAGCTGTTTTTGAAAACTTTTATCCTTTAACTAATGAAAAAATTTAAATCATTAGTAGTGCGCATTCAATTAAACTAAACAACATAAAAGTACATTGACCACACACCTCTTCTGAAAGCAAATCTTGAATTTGCTTCAATAAATTATCTGCTCCATTTTCATGATTCGTCAAATCAAAGTAAATTAAATTACTCAGCAAGTCCGAGCATAAGTAACAAGAAAGCTTTACATTGCTTGGTTTTTTGCTGGCTTCCTTGATTTTCTCAACAAACGTATTGCATTGGTCAAGTTCAAATGCACACTTGTGGCAAATCTTTGAAGTTGGACCATCCGTTACCTGTTGGCACACAAAAGCAACAGACACAATCAATTTTTACAACCAAAACTCTTGAGCAAGTAGTTATTATTCATGAACGAATTTTATCAAGCTAAATTAGTCTGCCTGGAACGCACGTATGTTTATGAATAAATTATGTCAATTACGACTGGCATCAACTCTTGATCAATCAATATATTACCGACAATTAGGCCAATATTGACTCGCGGTATCTCTAAAATGAGCAAAGATTTAAATAACCGAGTGTTAGGAATACGGGAAACGGCAAGCCTACAAAGGTAGATGGACAAACGCAGTAACGACGATTAAGCATCACCCAAACTACGATGGCAACAAAACCAAGCACTGCTGGCGGCGGTAGTGGCGGTAGTACAGGGTATATGGGCGACGGCGCCGGGAAAAAAGCCAATGCTGCTCCGAGAGAGATACAACATTTATACGGTACGTAGGCGAGAACGTAAATACAACAAAGCACACTGGAGTTTAAAAGTTTGGATAAGTCGAACACAAGAGAGCAGACGTGCAGGAGTCCCCCGCGTCGCCGAAGAACGTATCACCGCACCAAGAGGTTAAAAAGCTACTACACTTAATTAGGTGTGAAATATGTTGATAAAAGGCGATTGTAAGTCCTCTCACTTTTTTTCCTACTTCTCGTTACAGCTTCTGCGTATTTAAGTTGCGTTACTGCTGCGTGTAAGTATACCGAGGTATCGGAAATATTTGCGCAAATTATATTTGATTGCAACTACGCCTCGAGAGCTCTTGTCGCGGATCTCCGCTTGTTTGCCATAGCTTGCTTGCCTGGCGGCTTCGTGCGCGCGCAGACTATAGGATTTTTTTTTTATTACCCTATAGAGTTCTATCCTCCGTTGGGTTCCTCTGAGCTTTCCCCCCCGTGCACCATATCATACAAACGATACTCCTGCAGCAAGGTATACCTGATACATATGTGTATAATACCGGGCACGGCTGACCAACTGCCGTCAAGAGCGCCACTTTGGGATGGTGTTTCGATTTTTTGATCTTTTTTTCATGAGGTTTCAAAACTGCTGGTACTCAAAGTACTTATTTGCAATAATTTTCAATTTATGATGTTCATGCAAGTTGAATATTATTTATCTTTATGTAGAGAATTTTTCGACTATTGACATAAAATAAGTATCTCAAGTGAAGAGCAAAACTCTTTTCCATCACATTCTAATTCTCAATCTTATAGAAATGTCAAAATTGATCGTACAAGGGGTAGGCTACGAATTTATGAAATTTGCCATATTCGTAGCCACGTCCTTGCCTACAGAAAGTATAGAAAAACATACAGTCACAGGGGAGACACCCAAGCCATGGAAACGGCTCGTTTCTCTTACATCCTTCTTCATTCATCTGTAGTCATCAAGGGACAGTAAGAAAAAAAAAAAAAAAGAAAACATACCTCAATGTTTTTGACCACCTTAAGGTTTGTCGAAATGCTTGTATTTCGCTATTGAGAAAAAGAGAGAAAAAAAAAAGTTGAGAAGAAAATGCACATGAGTATTGTATGTGGTGGTGATGGTGAGCGATTAATCAAGATCAGTTTTCATATACTACAACACTGGACACGTCAAAGGCGTGCGTTGATAACGTAATCGAAACGCTGCATAAAATAATGAGTTCTGTGGATCTTGCTACTTAATAGCATCGACATTGTCAATGGAAAAGACCGTTATATACATGCAGTAACATTACTTATTTAATGATTATTCAATTATGTAATTATTTGTAAGTAAACACTTTTGTGGTGGCTATTACAGTAAGGAATGCTGCATTCAATAATTAATAATAAACAGTAGAGTTTTGTTAAATTTTTAATTTAATCAAATTTCATTTATAAATGTATACATAGTTACATGCTCCTTGAATAGAAATATATATTTTCATACACAGGCTTATGCATCAATTTGAATTGCAGACTACACAGTGTTGGTGAAAAAAAAAAAAAAAAAAAAAAGTGTACAAGTAAAAGAAAAAAGTATCAAATAAGTAGTATCAATGTAAAAAGTAATTTGCAATTTTACATTGATTTGTATGAGATCTCTATAATGATAATTTTTTTAGCATCTTGAGAGAACACTTTTCTATTGTAATTGATACTTTGGACATTTTCCAACTGACAAAATATTACTCAACTATGTTGTATTCCAAGCTGTAATATGACGTCAATGACGCTTTCCATGGGCTTCCAGATGTTCACTACAGCTGTCACATAAAATAATGTGTAGGGCCCCGGACCCCATAGGAGCCCTGACGAGATGCATCAAGAGTCAGGTTATGTGTGCATCTTACATTTAATGCTTTATAGGTATATTTATATACTACATGTGTGTACCTACATAACGGTCTGTGATAGATAGAAAAGCGCGCGGTTAGGTAGGTAACTTGGACATTTAAGCTGTTGTCTGTCTACATGCGTGCTATTTTTCGTCAACTTTGTCAGTAAACTGTTAGAACTTAAAGTTATACAGTTACCGAGGACCTGAGAAGTATTCTAAAAAGAAATTTATGTTTATTTATTACTACAACGTGTGGTTTAGGAAGAAAAATTATAATTTTAATTGAATAATACCTGACCGGCTTCTTAAAACTATGTTTTCTCCAAAACGTAATCATACTCCGAAAATCATGTTGAAGGGTAATTCTATAAAGAAAACTCCATTTTGTGCATTACGTCATAAATTCAGATAAGATTAAACAAACTTTGACTGCTTTTTCTTTACACAAACAGTGAAATTTATCAAGTGAAATGAACTATATTTTAATTGAACCAAGTGAACAAACTCTATACAAACAATAATAAACCAAAGTATTCAACTGCTATTTATAAAATTGTTTATCAAGAAACTTGAAGAATGAAAACTATGATTAAAAAAAAAATTGAAGGATCAGCGAACTCTTGATTAATTGTACGATTTCGAGGCGTTAGAGAAAAAAAAAAATAAAAGCAATACTTAAGTAACCGGTCAATGTATCCGTGGACGTTTGTTGCTTGCACACGAGAAGTCTTGAGCATCAGAGAGTAGCCAATAAACCATTCTAACCTCTAAACGTACAACTCAAAGACAAACAATGAAATGTTCTTACCTTGTCGAGCCGGCAGTTTTTGGCCTTGATTTTGAGCACCGGCTGCTCTTCCACATCCAGAAAAACACCTTCGTCGCTTGCGCACACCAAGCAATTGTCGCTCGTCATGGCGGGAATAACTTTTCCTACCCCTCACGGTAGGCGAGTCACAGGAAATTTTCACTGCGCTTATCGTACAGGTTCTCCACTCTGTACGCCTCTTTTTTTATCTGATGGGATGCAGCAGTGGCAATAGTGGTGTAGTAGAGTATACGCAAGATCCATGCATGTATGTGACATACACACACGTTCGAAAGTGATTTGGCGCGAGGCGCGCCTCTTGAGCGGCGCCGCTGGATCCGCTGATGATGGGCCTGATCTGATGGACACCAGTTGGGGTGGGCACTGGGCTGTGTCGACAATTATTACCTACCTATATTGTGTACTTACTACGTAAAGTAAGTGCTCAGCAATCCAGATGAATGACAGAACTACGTGAATTTAGCTACACAAACTAGTCTCGAGTTCTTGACTTAAGTGTGCCACTTTGACTTAAAAGAACTGATCTTGGATGCAGAATACCTAGTAATCTACCTATTTTTTAAGGATTATTGTTAGCACGGTGCAGATTGATTTTTGCGAAAGCAACTTTGTTGATGCCGGGCCGGGACACTAATTCAACATAACCTATGATAACGGTCGTTCACAATTTTTAACTTTATTGCCACAAGTTTGAAAGCTGTATAAAATGGCTGCGATGCTGCTGCAGCGCACTGTGGTGAAGTAGTTACCCGAGTTACCGACAAAGTGCCCGCTAACGCCCTCTTCTGTCTGTTTTTACCGCGGGAGCGACAATCGATAGATCGCCAGTCGACTGTTTTCGAGAGTTTGAATGTGATGTGTTAACGAACGGTAAACGACGTTCTGTAAGTTTTTTTTATTAAAATTTATTGTTCGCATTAAAAAAAAACTCTTGATAAGTACACATTTAATTAAAAAACCTAATCGTTGGGTTAAAAGTGATCGAGGTGGACTCGAAAATTCAGACACTCGATTCGTAGATGATAATCTGCACGACGGATTTTCTCGGCTGCTGAGGTAACTCGGGCTCCGGTTGGGACGACGCAGCGATGTCCCGGAGAATTTGCTCCACCGCCTCCTCCCACTCGCTGTCCTTCATGTCGTGACTTTCAGCACCACTTTTTCTCCGACGAGGCATCGAGATGACTTTCAGCACGCGTCTGTAAGCAAATTTTTTTTTTTTTTCTCGTCTTTGGCCACCATGTGCAGTTGTATGATTGTACAAAGAAGGAAAGTTCACCTACTTGAGATCAGTTTGCAACGAAGACATGTCGCCACCGGCCTGCTCTCCGATTCTCCTGAGCGTTTCTGCCAGGGGCCCTCTCAGGGCTTGCAGTCTTTTCCAAGAGTGGGCATACTGCCGTCGCACCAGTTCGATGATCGTGCTGGTTAGAGCTAGACCGACGAGTATGTATCCGGTGCAAAATAGCATGTATTTCGTATTTGCTGCAACGAAACCAAACACCATTGAAATCACATTTGTTTTTTTTTTCCCCCCATTCGCAGATTAGTTGCACTCACTTGGGACGATGTCACCGAATCCGATGGTAGTCATCGTCACGAAGCAAAAGTAAAATCCTTCAAAAAACGTCCAATGGGTCTCCCACAGCATGAATATACCAGCCCCGCAAGCCAAGTACAAAAACAACAAACCTACAGCGGCGAGAGCACCTGTGAGGAAAGTATAAAAAAAATTATCCATCGTCATATCGGTATTCAGGGATGAATAACCGGTATATTTACCCAGAGATTTTCTCCCGGCCTGGTTTGTAGGTATGCAGGAGTTGTAGCCTTTGGGGAGTTTGGATCGTATTTTTGGCGCTGCGGAACTGACGGCTCCGGCTAACAGTTTACCGTAGTCGGCTATCACAGTCAGAGTCAAGGGTATGCCGATCAAAGCGAACAGGATGCAAAACACCCTGCCGAGAAAAGTTGTTGGGAAGACGTTCCCGTAGCCTGCGAAAGGGCAAAAACATTTTTGCTCTATAAATGTATGCAACTGCACCGATAAAAATTACAAAATTTACGTAACGTAATAAAAATTTCTCATTAAAAAAAATATTGAGCTCGAAGTGTATGCATGATATTATCGTGATCGGTATGATTTCACAATTAGTTACGAAAATTTTTGTCAATAGTTTGGTAAAAGTGAATCAATTGTTGGAATGGGATGGGTTCGTTGATCCATGCACGTACTGTATAGATACTTTGGTCGAAAATTCGTGTTTTGGATGGAAAAATCAAAATCCTCGGAGGTGGAACACGAAAACACGTGACTCAAGAAAAAAATATCACCAAAAATCCCAATACGTTTTCCGAATCGACTTTGGGCGTTTGGATGGGAAAATAGGAAGTAGCAGAGATATGAAGATGATGATTATTGTCAAAGATAACAACCGATCGTGGTCAAAATCGTGCTGGCGAAAAACACGGCCTGGAGCACGCTCCATCGGTCAGCAAACATCGGCTCCGGATTTAGCCTCTCCTCGTCCGTGGCCGTGAGCTTCGGAATGAGCTCCGCGGAGAAGCCGGATCGCGCCGCCTCTTGCATCGACGACTCGTAGGGGCGAAGTATCGCGCTCTCCTGAAATTTTTTTTCATAACATCGAGCACGCCTTTGCTGTGATTACGTAACGGCAGGGCTCGCCTGCGCTCATCAACTCACCCATTGCGCCAAATCCGTTACGTTCGTGTTATTTATAGACGATATTAGATATTGTCTCTTTAGCAACAACGTCTCCTCCAATCTGCCCAATCTTTCCATCTCCACTGGCAGCTCCAATCTTCGGAACACCTGCAAAGTCACGACTACGTGAAATATACATTTATTACTTACCGAGTGGAACATTATTTTGGAAAATTTTATTTTTGGTTTTCGGCTATTTTATTGCCCACTTCAAAATAGATCCACCAAAGTAACACGAACTTAGGGAAATCGGTAAGATATTAGTGTTTTCCTAGAATATATATGTATGTCGCAGAGCTTTTCCTTCCAGTTTACTTTTCATAACACTTGTACATTTCAATATCTGTCGACGTTTTTTCTTCTTCTCCTTCTCCTACATGGCGCATTGGGTAAACAAAAATCGCTGCCCCATGTGTACGCTTCTCGCTTACAAAACACATAAACCACGTACTCGTGCGCCGTTTATACTCCTTTTCTTTTTTTTTTTTTTTTTTTTTTTTTTTTTTTTTTTTTTGCCTTTCTTGGACCCCAACACCCGCGCACTCGCAGATCATTAATAACCCCGCGCGTCTTCGCTGGGAGAGCCGTGTCGCGCCAACTTTAATTATACACCAGATTTTTTTGCCTTGTATTCCGCCAAATGACCACTCGGACAATGGCAAATGTCGACAAGCGATCGGTATTTCAAAATCCGTGTTCCCAGCAATCGAGAAATTGGCAAAAGAAAAAAAAAAAAAAAAAAGCCAGTGCCGTTGAGAGCAAGTTTGGGCGATTGAGCGATTGTTTATCTTGGATGGCTCGCGCTAAGCACGTCGTTACGTACGCCCGGCGGGAGTATGTTTGAAGGAAAAAATGTTTACGGCTCGTTAAAGAACTGATTTCCAGAAGTACCTTGTTTCGCTATGTTTTACTCTTAACTCGTGCACAGCTCCGAGAATATTATCAAACGCCACCCCCGAAATCGGCCCGAGAACTTTTAAATGCGCGCGTTGATGGGTGTATTTTAGTTTTACATTTTACTGCTTTTCTCTAAATTTCAAATGGTTGTGAGTACACATTATACACACTGTTCGAATAGTGACTATTCACTCTCTTTTGTCAGGAAATTTCCCAGTTGAATACTCATAACTTGCAGAAATTATGGTTTAATTTTCACTGTGAAATAGTTAATATTAATTATTCATAATTTGGTTAAAGTTCCATTTTTTAAATTAGTTAATTAAACGATCTTTGATCACGTCCGAAATAATATTTACAAGCCGTACAAGTTTCCTCGATCGCAGACAAATACCACCCTTTTTTTGATCATATTTTAATAGTTAAAATCTGGTTCAAAATCGTCACTTTTTCAATTTATACTTATGTGTTAATTTCACCCCCCCAAAACATGCGTGTGCCGTCAAATAACAATCATGTTTACCGAAAATTTTTCAAGCTTTTAAACGTTAAATAAAATCTCTCATTAAATTGCGGTTTTCCAATTCCAAAAAACATGGCGAGCAAATTACAGAGCGTCGCTTCGAGTTAGCGAAAATAATTAAGTCTTAATCTTCCACCGGAGCAAAGCTCGAAAGCTCGGGGGAGAGAGGCGCGTTCCGAGATCCCCGATGTTTATAGCTTTAATATACGCGCGCGCGAGTATACAAGCGAAGGAAGAGTTAAGAGCGGTTGGGGAAGAGTCAAAAAAAAAAAAAAAAAAGAAATCATCCACACGCTTGGCTTCCTCAAAATAATACTCGCGTTTTCTCCTCGTAACTTTTTGTTATTCCGTGATGCGACTTATCCGCGTCCAATATTCCAGTCTCGCTGAAAATTCGCAGTGGCAGAAATAGGTATACGTGGCAATGGAAATGTTCCGAGGATTTGTGGCGTCGAGAGTGTGCGAAGAGCCGAGGAGTCGTGTGAAACTGGGGCGTGCAGTGTGTATAAATATCGCGAAAGAATGAAAAAAAAATTCCAAATGTTTGTCACTTCGTGTTTTGGTCATATGCGCGAGATGCGTTTTGCTAACTGCGTCTCTCTTGCCGATGACTTATTTTGTTGCCCCATGTGCGATCTTGTACGCTACGTTTGATCGTTTGATTTGAAATTTAGTTTTATTTATGAAAAAGCTGTTACATATAAAAAAAAAAACAAAATTAAAGTGACGCATCCATCAGGCATTATTTTTGTATTTTACCCGAAACTGCGTAGTGTAAATTGTCCTTCTCTTCCATTTTTCATTGAAAATAATTAATTTGAGCTTTTCTGCAAATGGTAAAAAAAAAAAAAAAAAAAAAAAAAATTCTAATCTCACCAGTCCTCCGATAAGCGTGTATATCATCAGCGTGACCAACAGACCCACATGACTAGCTATGGATTTAATTTTGGCCAAAGTTTCAGCTCGAAAAATTTTTTTCGACATGCTCGAGCTGCCCTCGTTGAGCTGTTTTTTGTCGTCGCTGAACATAACTAAAAACTTTCTTTCCGATTGTAAAAAAAAAGAAAAAAAAAAAAAAAGAAAAACTTTAGAAAAATATTTAATCTTCAGTCTCGATGCTCTCTCCTCTGTTGGGCATTTCAGCAAAAAACAACCGACCAAACACTCGATATTGCATCTTCGTAATCAATCACGTTTTTCCGAACAACCGTAAGAGTCATCGTGTCTAATTAACGTCTCGTCCAATGATTGGACCCGCAACACGAGTGATTTCGAGTGCTTATCAGCGCGACCGGATAGCTGGTTGACCAGCGACTAGCTCGGATTCCGAGGAGATGAGAAGAACATCTCGTTCGGCTTCCTCGGTTTTTTCTGCCACGAGCCGCATTCAAATCGACGCCAGCGCAGTCGCGCCACTTTGGGGCAGAGTCAAGCGAGTATATATTATACGCATCGTCTCTTTTTTCGTGCACGTTTTCCTTGCTTACAAGTATACTTACCCATGTCCAACATATAAATTTTCACGCAAAATCGCTCCAATGTCATTGCGTCCTGCAGTAAGTACATGTTCAATTTGAGTGAAAAGTGAAAACCCAAAGTCGCTCCGAAATCTCTGTCGGTAAAGAAGTGCAACGAGAAATATTCCGCCTAGCGTAGTCGTTGCAAAAGTGGGTGTCACTTTCGAGCGCAACGTCACTCTTTCTCTCTATCTCGCTCTTATACCCGTATACACATTCAATCCATATATACGAAACGTGAGAGTTGGTAAGCTAGAGCTGTAAGTGTTCAGTCATCAGCTCACGCATAGTCCTTTTCGTTGGTGTCGACTTTCTGCTGCTGTCTTCCTCCCGCTTGCTCTCTTTTGCTGGTTTTTGTGTCTAAGTACAGTAGCCGCCACCTCTTTTCACACCATCATTGCTCAATTATGCGTAAGTACTCATTATTTTTTAATTACGAGAATTTTGGCTGATAAGGGAAATATGTAGGTGACGTTAAGTATAGTGGCTAACAGATAGTTTCTCAGTGAGGTATAGTGGAATGCGAGCTCTCTCTTTCTGTTTCTCTCCGGCAGATCGATACCTACTCGCATCAGTTGTACGGTAGAAAATAGCTCTCGAGCCGTTTGGGCAATATAATATCAGAGAAATGACGAGGACGATGATAATATGAATACGATTGTGTTGTGCACAGCGTATAACTGCTGCTCTCTCGGTGTACTTATGGATTGGGCGTGTTGACTTGATTACAATAGTCGCCGCCTCCCGTCAATGACTTCAATAACGGGCATACTTACTTATTATATACCTAATAATTAGCATTACAAGTCGGATTTGGCAGCCAGCTCGTGTGTCGTACTTGCACAGTATTGATAATATTGTCAGTCTGTATATAGTTTAATTTGTTTTTAGGTACGGGTATTTTTGTTAATTTTATACTCTAAAATATATCACTGGTTACACTCCACATACTGGTCGCAATAATATGTATGATACATAAAAGTACAAAAGTATTGATAAATACCTTTATAATGGTTCGTATAAAAGTGTGGACACAAAAATATAAATTATTTTTGTCTCCATTTCTTTGACAAAAAAAAAATAGAAGGGATTCAGATTAGGTTGTGGTTTGTATGCACCATTCACTGGATTGCTGCTGATAACAGTTAGAGATGATAAAACAATCCTATCTAATGTGAACTGAGGGTCATCACTTTTATAATTTATAAACGAGCGCTGAACATTGGCTTTGACATTTTTATTTGCTCAAATAATTTTATTTACTCCAAGTTGTACCATCTCATATTGGTATTTTGTTTTTTCTTTTAATTTGTACTAGATCTATTGGCTTTTATGAGACTGGTGCTACACATCGACTTAATATTCTTATATTTTTTTTCAGATGTAGGATAGCAGACCGAAAAAAATTAACCCACCAAGATGATTGGTGGATTATTTGTCTACAACCACAAGGGGGAGGTTCTCATCTCGAGGGTCTACCGCGATGACATTGGGCGCAATGCAGTGGATGCATTTCGCGTTAATGTCATCCATGCAAGGCAGCAGGTTCGCTCACCAGTGACCAATATTGCCAGGACCTCATTCTTCCATATAAAGAGAGCCAACATTTGGCTTGCTGCTGTCACGAAGCAGAATGTCAATGCTGCCATGGTATTTGAATTTCTCCTCAAGATCATTGATGTGATGCAATCGTACTTTGGAAAGATCTCTGAAGAAAACATCAAAAATAATTTCGTTTTAATCTATGAACTGCTTGATGGTACAATGCGATTTGCTTTATAAAATTAACCAGCATACTTCAATTGGTGCATTCATTATTCAATTTTGCAGAAATTTTGGATTTTGGTTACCCTCAAAACTGTGACACTGGAGTTTTGAAGACCTTTATCACTCAACAAGGTGTAAAATCTGCCACTAAAGAAGAACAAGCCCAAATAACTTCACAAGTTACTGGACAGATTGGCTGGAGAAGAGAGGGCATCAAATACAGGCGCAATGAGCTTTTCCTTGATGTATTGGAATATGTAAATTTATTAATGAGTCCACAGGGTCAAGTGCTCAGTGCTCATGTTGCTGGAAAGGTTATTACGCTTGAATTGGTTTTTTTTTGTTTTCATGTACTTGTGATCTCACGCAAACTTTTGCTTTGTTCAGGTCGTTATGAAATCTTATTTGTCTGGTATGCCTGAGTGTAAATTTGGAATCAATGATAAAATCGTAATGGAATCCAAAGGCAAAGGTAGCGGAGGCTTAGGAAATGTAGGAGGCGATGATCCAACTGGAGCGCGTTCTGGTAAACCCGTAGTTGTGATTGACGATTGCCAGTTCCATCAGTGTGTCAAGCTGTCAAAGTTTGAAACGGAACATTCCATTAGTTTTATACCGCCAGATGGAGAGTTTGAATTGATGAGGTAAATATCAATGTAATCTTCGAGTTGAAGTATTTATCAATATATTTTTGAGAAAAATTAATTAAACGATAAATTTTTAGGTACCGCACAACAAAGGATATTTCATTGCCTTTCCGCGTTATTCCTCTGGTTCGTGAGGTCGGGCGCACTAAAATGGAAGTCAAAGCCGTGCTAAAATCCAATTTCAAGCCATCTCTACTAGGACAAAAGATAGAAGTGCGTGTTCCGACACCACTGAACACAGCTGGAGTTCAGTTGATTTGTTTGAAAGGCAAGGCCAAGTACAAGGCCTCTGAGAACGCTATAGTCTGGAAGATCAAGCGTATGGCTGGCATGAAGGAAACTCAGCTGTCGGCCGAGATTGATCTGCTAGAGACTGACACGAAAAAGAAATGGACGCGTCCTCCGATTTCCATGAATTTCGAAGTACCTTTCGCACCTTCGGGCTTTAAAGTTCGTTATTTGAAAGTCTTTGAATCAAAGCTGAACTACTCTGATCACGATGTTATAAAATGGGTCAGGTATATTGGAAGAAGTGGTCTCTATGAGACACGATGCTAATAATAATACTCCGATTCTTTCGTTAAATAGTAAACGAGTAATCTCAATGAAACGAAGAGTATGGTTCTGTTATGATTATGTACACTTGAAAACGCGACAAAGTCATTTGAAGTTACTGAATTTTATTAAACCAACAGAATTTAAGCTTGATGTTGATGTGCTAGAGATGCAAAGCTTGTCTTTGGTAGCCGGAATTTAGCTTGCTGTCATAAACAATCATTAAAACAAAAAATCTAGGGTGAAAGTTTACTACAACTACCATTTTGCGATGGTTTTTCAATTGTTAATACTTGTTAATATCGACCAATAACGAGATATCCGTAGCGATGATTATTACTGTATTTTCGATACGTGAAGGTGTGTAAAGTGTAACTCTCTGTAGATCGGAGGACGAGTCTCGTGTCTCTTTAACATCACTGTTGGGCCATTTGTTGCATATAATCGACATTGCATATTATTTATTAATAACAACAACTTTATAACAGCAACTCTGTAGCTGGATTTCCAAGTACCAAAACATATTGATAGCAATTTCGTTATGGGAACATTCTTTGTTCGAGTTTTATCGAGTAAAAAAGATTTATGGCTTGTGTATGTATGTTAAAGTCATAGTAATGTATGTTGAAATACATGTGCAACTCAAGTATATCGTGTTTATTTGAACAAAAAAAAAAAAAAAAAGTATAAAAAATACTACATAAGGTTAGATGAGAACTCTCCAGATAATATTTGATGTACATTTCAGAAATTATGTATGATTTTAAGGAATTGAAAGAAAGGATCAATTAGATTCGAGTATACCTGTTTTTATCGAGAAAATAAATTAATATATGTATATGAATTTTAAACATCAAATCCAATGAAATTTTTTAAACGCAGATCAAGTTGAACTACAAATTTAACAATTTTAATTTACCAAGAATCTAGGCTTGAAACAATAATCATTAATTTTATTTTATCTTCATTTTTTATTCTTTTTACTTTACCTGTGTAACGAGCAAATAAAATTTACGGTTGAATAAAATTGTAAAATATATGAAAGATATCGCGTTTTTCTTCCACAATTTTCATCCCAAATATGTATATCCCATTAATCTACAGCTACAAGAGCAAAAAAGAAGCATAAGTAAAACTACGAAGGAAGTGACCACGGCCATTTCTTGGCCTCTACAATCGCTAAGGTGCATTTTGACGGGCAGTCGAAAGTTATCCAAGTGCATGACATCGTCCGTTTGAACGGAGAAACAGAGAGGAAAGAAATGTTGAACTCCTTATGGGGGTGGTTTCATGCGCTCAGTCGCCTTTTTGTAATGTCAAAAAAAATGCACCCTAAGGCCGCGCGCGTGTCTCAGAGCGAGAACGGTGCACTGTAAAAAGACCCTCACTTCCAAGATCTCTTCCTCCTCTTCTCCGTTCGGCGCAAGCTCGCCCTGGTCGCCCCGTCCTCGTCTTTCCCATGTGCAACGCAAGCTTTACAAAAGCGCGTGGATCTCGGTCTGACCGCAAAAATCAATCAAAAGAGTTGTTTGACAAGTCCAAAGAGGTTAAAGTGCTCTTCGTCCCCTGCACTGCAGTTCCTGGATCCCTCCCTGGAAAATGTAGGCTGTACCTACATTTCAAGTCTCGACAGCTATATATAAAGAGAGCCAGGGGGCGGGGCGCAGGCGCGGGCGGAACAAATAACAATGTCAGCTGGCCCGGGGACTAACGGCGGAACAACAGCTTCCGCGGCTGTTGATATCTTCGAGCTACCAGTGCCCGGCTGCTCAGCCCGACCGCCGAGGATGCCCTGTTGCGCGACGACGACGACGACGCTGTTCCTCCTGCACTTGCTTTCCACGGCCTGCGTCACAAGTGAGTACAACCTCGCCCGCGTACAGGCACCCCTGCAGTGTATTACCTACACCTCCCTCCATCCCTCCCTCCCCTCTCTCGGACCGGCTTTTCATCTACATAGGTACATTCCCTTTCTTGGCATACGTAAGAGACCTCCAACACACGTGCCTTTGGTATAATACCCGTGTATCAATTATCGCGCACGAGCTTGCGGAGGCCGTTCGATTTTTCAATCCCTATTTACCGAGGGACTATACTACACCTCCTCGGTCACCCATAGTGAAACTCGAGGGCTCGAGCTCCTCCTCCTCCTCCTCCTCTTCTACCGGAAATAGTATTTTTCAGTGACACGCGCGTACAGTTGTGTGTATATATATATATATGATAGGTCGCGAGGGTGGTCCGTAGGTTTCTTTTATTTTTAAACACAATATAATAATATTATGTTGTATACGCAGACTCGGGAAAATGGTAGAAACAGCCGAGAGGAGTGCGGCCTGTCCGACGTGTGTCAGTGATTTCGGAGCTCACGAGTAAAAACAGTCCAGTTCACGTCGGACGCGCATATACGTGACAGTTTTTCTCTCTTTTGCTCGTTTTCAGCATGGTTGTATACATTCCACGTATAAGTACCAATGTTTAGTTGTCGCTTGTGCGTTCATAACCATATGGAAAAAATAGTTTGAACCCAACGAAAAAACGGTCAAAGAGGCCAAGCGAGAGCCGCGTGTGTTTATAAGAAGCTATATTTGTATGTATACTATATACCTACAGCGTCGAGGGCTCGGGGAGGAGGAGTGCGCGCGAGTCGATCATCGCGGCTGGGGGGGAGGGGCACACTTACACGTAGGTATATAACGCGCACCGAAAGAGTATAGTCGCACAGTATACATATACATCTTTATACACGTGTCTGGTGCGTTTGTATACATGTACATGTACCAACGGACGTGGACGTCTTAAGGCAGCCTGCACGCGAGCGAGAAATGCCAGTGCGTGAGCGGGACCCGCGGCCGAGGAGGTGTACGGCGACTACTGGCGCGTTCGTCAGGAATATCGTTGGACAGCCCGGAACACACACCGTGCGACAGATATGATACCCGAAGAACAGATGAGGCACATTGGATAATATAGTAATATACACACACGGGGGGGGGGGGAGACTGACAGGGGGTGTGCGGGTGTGCGTGTACAATGTGGGACACGCTGCGATCGTCGTCGTCGGGAGGTACAGCAACTGTGCAGGCCGCGCCTCCCGATACCCCGGTGTATACGCTAATAGCTGGCGGCATGGACGGCTGGACGACGATCAGCTGCTCGTTGGGCCACTGTAGCCCACCCTACCACTACTACTGCAACGAACATCGGGAACCATAACAGTGTGTCTCTCTCTCTCTCTCTCTTTGTTCATTTGACTGTTGTTTCACGTTTGTTTGTTTGCCTTGACATTGTTCCTATAATGTGTAGGTATATGCATATAAAGTACATGTATGTGTTTCTATTTCCCTAACAGCTCATTTTCAACCCCTTAACATATCCTCATCTGTTTTCGTTATGTTGTTGGGAGCTTGCGGGGCTTGGTTTGACGGAAGATTTTGCGCTCGCGTATCTGCTATAACCGTAAATGTATGTATATATATACACCTATGTTGTATAAGTAACAACACAAGTTCGTAATTGCCGGGAGTTCCAATAATTTGGGTGATCGTACACGTGATTGATTCTATTGTGTTTGTCGATGATTAAATTAGCCCGTCGGTTGTATGGGTATACAACACGTTGGCACACTCACTGCAGACTATACTCGGCAAATTGACATTGAGAGTAGCTGCTTTTTCACGCTAATTAAATTATATGGTACAGGTATACAGGTGTACATAGAGTCTCTTAATGTGACTATACTATTACGTGTGCCTATAATATATACACTCACTTGCGTCTTACGTGCCGGTGGGGGCGCAAAGTTTTTGCCGCGTCGTTCCGTCTGAATTAGCCGTATATAGCAGTGAACTTTCAGCTCATTCGATCTCTCTGCCTTATATTGTCAAATGCGACTTTTCTCTTTCATTGTTATTTATCGCGTCGTTTCTCTCCTGTGGGAATCTCCCTTCGGACTACACGTGTGCTGCTTCCGTCGTACAAATTTACGTCAGAAATTTCAATGAGCTTTCATGGCCCTTCTTTCGCTAACTTTCGAACCGAAACGAGGAAAAAAAAAGACAAGTATTAAATTTAGCGCAGCCAACCGTATACGTAATTCCGAGTTTGTGTTATCTGGGTCACGAAGCGCAACATATTCCATTCTCCCCTTGTTTTTTTTTTTTCTTCCCTTTCCCTCACTCCCTTATCTGCGTCGTCGATGTAATCACGTAGCTTGTGTGTGTATATAAGTGACAAACTATCCTGACTAATTGTTGTTACTGTTACGTAGAACGTATTCGTAGGGGAAAAAGTTTTGTACGCCACGAATACGTCCTACAAATGCTTCTTATGTAAATGTGTAATCGATGTTAATAAAAACAAAACAAAAAATACCCATATTTATAGTCAACCACCATGACTTTGATGTTGTATATAAATTGTTGTACATGTAGTAGAATATGTTGGTCAATCACGTAGAAGTACATTGTATACACTAGGTATATAATAATTGTACAAATTACTGTTGAGCAATAAAATCAATCATTCCCAGTTAGTGATCTTATTTAGCCAACTGCACCGTACGAATTTCATGAAGCACATTTATCTTTGTTTATTCGTTTTCCAACGCTATAACATGTACGCTTTCATGGCTCGATATAAAGTTTCGTACGTATATGGATCCTAAGATTTACGGACGCAATATTTCATCGATGCTTTAAATTTCGTGATGGTTACATCAGTCGCTCGCGAGAAATCCTCAAGTTTCAATGCTCGAAAGTTCACGTCCGCAGTACCTTACACCATATTTCATGCTCTGTTTTTTTTCTTATCTTTTATTTTACACACGTATACGTATATATTTTGACAACTTGTGTTCTCTGTCAACGACGTACAACCGAATACTTTGTACCATTTGTTTTTTCTTTCTTTTATTTATTTTTTTTGTTTGTTTTCCTCCCAACTGTTAACGTTGGGGGTTGTTCGTATAATTTATGAGTGGCTGTGATTCAACAATATTTTTTTCTCCCGCGTGCCTCACGGGGGGACAGTCTTTATTCGATTAATCATCGGGGGGTTGTCGGCACATCCGAGAAAGTAATTAAAAAGTGGTTCCTCCACTAAAAATAAGTTCTCCACCGAGGGTGTGGAGGGGGTGAAATTAACATTTGAGAGAAAGAGGAGATAGGGGGGGTGACCAATTAGACATTAATTTAACTTGTCTGGCTTATTTATTTCCCCTTCGATGCAACTCTTGCACAATTTCAGAGCGGTACCTTTTAATTTATATGCGCCGTGCGATGGATCTTGTACCTATTGGGCACTACAATAACGTACACCCTCCCCCCAAACTCCCCACGCCTACATACACATCTTGCATTTTTAACTCGTCGCCGTTGCGTGCCTTTTTATTTTTTTTTTCGCAAGGGTGGTTATTATATATACATATATATATCTACAGGGGGAGGGTAACTGTGTCACAGCCGGCGATGATTTAAACCCTTCGTTATCGCACATTTTTTTGATTTATACCGAAGCTCCGTGTCACGAATGCGCTACGACTGGTACTACACAGGTACGATATTCGACTCCGGACGAGTTGTATATATGATGTACGCGCCTTCGTCGTCGAGTATAACGAACCCCCCGGGTCGGGGGAGGGGGGGGAGACTACATCCGAGCAATTTTCACATTAACAATTAAACTTCCGCGAGTATACTTCAGCTCCATTTTCGCGTGCGCGCTAATTAAATTGCCAAAGAGCTACGCTATATGTATACGAGCGAGCGAGGGCGAAATTCGATTTGGAATTTTCGTTTTGCGAAATTTTCGGCGGAAACGAGCGCCCGGAGCGCTGTGGTGGTCTATACGCGTACATACGAGATTACGAACGAGAGTGTAAAGGGAGTGCGCGTAAAAGAGGCAGTGCCGAAGCGTCTCTTTGACAGAAGTATTTTCGTGATTGTACCCTAACGGGCTCCCACATTGCTGTATGGTGCGTGTATACTAAGCAGGTAATTACCCGATTCGAGGGAGCGGAAGTTTAACAAAACTATACTTTTCAATACAACAATCGGAGACCCTCTGATCCACGTAATATACGAATCAAGTATAATACAACAGCCCGTACATTAGTTTGGCATCGAGGCCTACCCCATTTTTCCTGCACATCAGAGGTGGCTGTCTTATTATTTTAGATCATAAATACATTAGACGTAACATAAGTACACCCACATGCGTATTTCGCGCGGAAACAGGGAGCCACGGGTTGTTAGCGCAAGCTCACCATGTACACTTGTATCACCTTCGTCGTTGTGTGGCCGTTGCTTTTATTCTCAGCTCGTCGGCTATTTTTAGCCCCTGGTGTATATGTATGCTACGTACGTGTACTCGCGTGCTCATGGTACGCCTCCATAGACGCTGTTTTCTCTTCGCGTTCCGTCCAGTCTCCATCCTCCTCCTCCTCGCGAATATACCCATACTGGTGCGTGATTTTTTAGCCAACGCGTGAGGGTGACAATTGACTAGCTGGGGGTTGGACAGCCAAGCGGCCCTTCATTTTTTGGGTCGAACCCCTGCTCCTGATGAGATTCGATCGATTATCGGCCAAGGGATGATACGTTGCTCTGGTGTACCTACACACACGCGCGTGTGTCACGTGTTGCTTTTCACGTAGGAGCTACGAGAGTTAAATTAAAACTTGGCTCTTTGAGCGCTTATTGGAAACTGTAAGTATTGAATTCCGTGAGCGGGGCTTGCGTTTTTAGCTCGAGAGTCCCCGGCAATGGAAGGATACATCAGATTTCAATTTATTTTCATTTTTACTGTTAATATACGTCGTATTTTCAACCAATCGAATCTATAGCCCCTAGACCCAT